ATCCAAATACAGAGCAAGTGTCCGCAGCAAATTTAAATATGTCATTGCTGTTCTAATAAAAATTAATGAAAGTTATTTGCACAAGCGTTTATACAAATAAAAGTTTATAAAAAGAAATCATTATCAAGGAATGATATTCATCAATAAAATAACATTTTTAAAAATTATATTTAAATATAAAATATTTATCGAGAAATAATTCTGACATGATGTATTAAAATATATTATTCTTGTAGAAATTTTTCTTTGTTATTGTTGTAGTGTAGATATATAATATGTGGACAAGAAATTGCTTACAGCGAGGGAGCTGGTGAAACAAAGATTGATCACTTTACCCGCCGTGAGTTTCGTAAAGTATCTGGCCATGGAGATTATTAGGATAACAAACTTCTTTACTGGGTAAGTAATATCAACGACTATGTAGCAAATATACTTACTTCATTCCCTTATTGTAGGAAGTGCAACAAGTACATGTATAGTATTAACATGTATAGTATTCTGTTACTAAAATTTTATTTCCCTTAAGTATATTATTCTTTTAAGCATGTTATTTATTTACTTTTCATAATACTATATTTCATTTTTATGTACTTTTCCGATTAGTAATAATTTTTATACCTCCATATTTTTATCATGTACTCTATGCGACTAATTAAAAATTTTCCAATAACATAATATCAAAATATTGACGGGTAAAAGATACAAACATTAAGCAATATATTACAGAAAATAGTGTATCATTCGATTCTTCTTAAAAAATATATTAATATTTAACTGCACACATTACTATTTAAAAACTAAAAGCAATGAGCACGAAAGATTTGTATATTCTATTGAAGATAAATATAAGGTGTAAAATGCAAATGCACTGCTATTGCGTATCATTACCATGTAACATCCTAAAAGACTATTCAAGTATTAAAGTTTTTCCAACAACTTTGAAACAATATATTTCTCATGTCTGATGTGAAAATGTATATTAGACTTCTTAAATTTAAAATATTTAATAAAAATATTTAAATGTATAGGGCTACCAAATAATTCAAGGATTAAATTTAGTCAGAGTTTTTTATATTTAATTTGCAATAAACAGAGAGTTGATTCCAAAAAACACACAAACAAAATTCATAGTACTTCAATGTAAAATTTTCATATTTCAAGACAAATTGTAAATCTAAAAAGAAATTTAGAAATGAAAGAGTAATAAATAATTTAATTATTTATTTAAGTATTCTTGTGTAATGCACGACAATCACTGTCAATTTTAGAGCAATGGCGCGTTTCGATCATTGGTTTTCATATATAAGTTTTCCAGCCAGACGATCAACATTTTGAATTATCCTCCAACCATGATGAATAATGCCGTGATGCCGCAAAAGCTGGTTGATATGATGTGTATATGATGCTAGTTGCTAAATGCATCGAAAATACGATCTCGTAATCGGGGCCATCTGACAAGTCTCGTCCATTTTCCGGATTTATTCACATTCGGCCACACATTGATCACACCTATTATCAATTTGTGCAAATGCACGCTGTATCTAATATCATCTACTAATCGTAATTAAAATTCCGTAAATCCATCAGTTCGATAAGAGCATATGGATGAACCAAAGAAAATCCATTCTTCTTCTTCTTCTTCTTACGTTGTTGAAACGGATATACAATCACAACTAATAGACGAAAGTACAACAAAACTTGATTTGTATTATGCACGTTCTCGTGTCTGCGAGAATTACCGCCGTTAGCACAGTAGTTCTGTCATGGCGCAGTTAAAGTTTGGAAAGAACGGTTGCGTGCGCGCAATTTTTTGTCGACAGAAGATAATTATGGAATAGTATCGATTCATACGAGACGGTCTTTAGCAAAAGTATAAATGTCTACCTTGTGTCAAGTCATGGCTCATAGATCGAGGGATATATTGAATCAATGGGATTACGCGAATTATTAATTAAGTCAAGTTTAACATTTTGAAGTACTTGATTTTCAAAATTAGAAACCATATGTATAATTTTGTTAATAAAAGTTAATTAAAAAATTAGAAATCTTAAGTGAATGTAAAATATATCGAAAAGTTGTCTTGTATGATTTTTTACGAAAGTTATAAGTATAAAATTACAATAAAACGATTGATCCTTCATCTTGATATTGTTTTCAAAGGTAGCGTTAATTACAGATTAATATGGAGTACGATACTATTATGATAATTATTTCATCAAAATTACGCAAATTTTAGGAGCATATTAAAATACGCCATCGATGTTCTAATGATCTGTGAAATAATGGAACAGGCACACAATTCACTGCTTGCAAATAAAATTAAATAAGCTTCCATACTTACGTTACTGAAAGTAGGTAGAGATATGTCTATCATTCTGCCTGCCGAAATTTTTGCCGGAATATTGGAAACTGCCATTATCAGTATTAAAGAACGGGCTCTTTTGTACTGAAAATGATACCACTTTGTCGTGGACGTCATTAATCCAACCTTGATGCTCTGTTATAATTAAATAAATGTATATTTTATAAAGAATGTTTATGAAAACAATGTCTAACTTACAGCAAATAAATATGAACACTTGCTACCTGATCTGTTAATCGTTGACCTACATAACAGTAGGTAAAAATGGAAAAGATGAAAGATGTAAGCATCACAGAGTTAGTTAACATAGCTGTTGAATCATTATTCTGCCATTCCTTTGAGATTAACATTTGCAATACAAGTTTATAAAATAATTTATTTTTAATTCTTTTGAACTTATGATTTAAATATTATCAGTTTTTAATTTTCATATAAAAATTAATTGTCAAATTATTATACATAAATAAAAATTCTTTTCAGAAAAAATTTGTCGTTATTACCATAATAATATAATACCCTGAAAGGCATAAGAGTAGAGTAGAACCCATTATTTCCACTAACCATACATATCGCATAGTTGCCTCAACTTGTGTTAGAAAACTGTAAATGAACGATTTGTCTGTTTAATAATTTTTTATTTATGAACGTCTATTTAACAATTTATTCAATTTTGTATTTAAAATATTACACTATAATAAAATATATTTAATAAATTAAAATAAAAAAATTAAATAAATAATTTAATATATTTAATATTATATTTCAATATATTTAATATATTAAAATATTAATACTTAATAAAATCATGATTTAATCAATTAACTTAAATAAAATCATAGTTTAACGTTTGTTTAAAAACAGAAATAATTACAATGTATTAATTTAGTTTTTATAATTTTAAATTAAATATCTTGATATTTCTTTTTCTAATATAAAAGTATGAAAAAAATAATACAACACAATAATATAAGCTAATTTGATTATCTACATCAACTATAATTTGTTTAACAAAATAATTATTTATTTAACAAAATAAGGCATTTAGCTAACACTTATTCTTTTCAAATATTTTTCACATATTTTTGTAGACTCACCTTTTCACTTTTATTTGATGCTGTACGATATCAGCCAACAACATCGCGACAGCTTGATCGTTAGAATTCGATATGTTGTTGAGATTCTGCAGTTTGCCCATTATAATGCTTAACTGCCCACAAACATGCATGATGAAAAATGCGGCCAGGCCGGCCGCACTGATTCCTGTTGAATAGGTAAGTACTCCCGCGAAAGCTTGCAGAGTAAAGATGATCTCGTATGCTGGTGACACTTGTCCATCGAACTTAATGAAGTAACTCGGCAATGCCAACGCTCTCACCGTGATGTTCTCTGGTGTGAGCATACGACCCTTCGAAAGTGGTATGAGTATTCGATAACCTACTCCGCCGGTATACATGAAGATGGCAGAAAAAATTGCAAACTTTCGGCCTACTCTCGCTGTGGACAGCATCGCTTTCCGATCGCTTCCATCAACTGTATTGCTCCAATCCTGATGCGCCCGATTCAGGCAAGATTGAATTTCCTTTGCGTGGTTCAGGATCAGGAAATATTTCATCCAACCCATCGAACAGTTCACAATCGGCGCAAGCAGTCTGATTCTACGTTTGAATTCGTGTTCCTTTAGAAATACTCGTAGAAGACTTGGCATAATGATGAACCCGAATAAAAAATGGCAAATGACGTTTTGAAAACGGGTCGCAATTCTTTCCATGCTGGAATTAGGATTCGGCCATGCACCGATTAATCGCAGAATAATGCGAGTAACTTGTACGGCGTAATTGAAATCGTTATCGTATTTGCTCGTCGTTAATGAGTTTTTCATTATTAGCTTCACTCAATACTTTTTTTTTCACATTAATATCACATTAATTTCCCATAATTGATTTCTCGACCGCAAATTTTGAGTTTATATTATTACTTTTCAGAATTTAAGAATATCCGTTAATGTAGCGTTTCAGGGTTTACAAGTAACAGATGGTTAGGCGAGACGTTATAACATAACTGAACAGTTGTGTTGATAGGTAGTCTCCCTTTCTATGGTAAGAGCAGAAAATGTAAAGCGCGCTTGCGTGCAGACGTCTGCGCATAATGACGGGGTTACACGAAAGAGGTTGACGAAATTATCGAATAAACACAATATTGACGGATAAAGAGAAGATTCGTCATATGACGCATGACATTGTAAAATTTAAGTTTACGAATGTGAAAGGGTAAGGTCAAGTGTCGTTTTATGTGCTGCATGTTACTGTGTACGTCCACAGAACGTCATGTAAGTACAAAAAAATATTGTAATACTATTGTATACGTACATTACCTTCACAGTATAGAATCCATTGATATAAAAGTATGTTTTATAAGTTGTAAACGCAATGTAATAAATACAAAAGTGTATATATGTAAATGTATAAAGATTATATCTTCCGCTTTCAGAGGAATATAATGACAATAGATTCAGAAAATTCATGCTTGCGTTAATTTTACGATACTAATGATGCTAATTACATTTAAATGAAATCTGTAGATTTCAAACCTAATTTTTTTACATATAAAACTTAATTCTTTTATCTAATGAACTGCTGTTTTACATATTAGTTGTCCGTAATATATTTAGATATGCCACGGATGTTCGTATAATCTAAAAAAATATGTAATTATATTTTCAACGATTTACAGTTTACAATAATTAGAAAATCAAAGCAATTTAAGAAAATATTTGAATTGCACTTACAGCACCGAAACTATTTAGAGATAGATCCATAAATTTTCCCGCAGTAATTTTAATGGGAATGCTAGACATCGCGATTATCAAAACAAGACCGCGAGCAGTTTTATGTGGAATTCGATACCAGTCGAGTGTAAAAAGTGATCTTTGTGCTCTATAATGCAATAACATAATAGTTATCATTGAATCTTACTCCAATCTGATAAATTAACAATCATCGATCAATATCTGATCTGTGAGAAGTTCACTAATGAAACATAGTATGAAGATATTAAAAATAAATGTTAAAAGAAGTGTAGTATATGTTAGCATAGATACTGCATCATTATTTTCCCACTCCTGTAAAACGAATATAAATAATAGTTTCTATTAACTTTTTTTAATATAAAAATATATTTAAGTTATATTAATAATATAAAAATCATAATA